TTGCTGGGATTCTACATTTACCCCACAAGGGTAAGCGGATTTATCGAATTGGACGCCGTAGGTTAATCCAAAAGTCGAAAACTAGCTTTTAGCAAACCAGGTGCCAATAGCTCTGTAGGCAAGCTTTAGAAAAGCGGTTTTCATCAATCGATAGAGCATGTGCTGAGGCACATAACTTGTGCAGAAAGTTTTTCAAAATAACTAATAGTAAAAAAGTTAGAGTTGTTTTAATGAGACTCACTGATTTTTTGTATGCAAACACCCCTCCTTACTCTATGGAATTCTTGGGATGGAAAAGATGAAATGGATTGTGATATATCATTAAATATATTTAATTGTTCGTCAGATACAAGAATATGTGTTACATTATATACATTACAATTTTCATGTATACCACTTAATAAAATTAATAATGGAGAAGTCGATTGTTTTGGTGGAACCGATGAACCAAGAATATGTCGTAAAAAGTTTTATGATGCAGAGAAATTTTACTGTATGAATAGTAACCCACCAGATTGTCATCGTGATTATTATTTGTGCAATAATACTACAGAATGTCCAAATGGAGATGATGAACAATTTTGTCTACAAAACAAAACAATTTCCGATGATTTTTTGGAATCGAACTATTCTGTGTTCCACTCTAATGTAAAGAAGTTTCTCCTTTCTTTTTTTAAAAGAAAACGTATAGCAAACGACAAATATTTTCGCATCACTGGTTTTCTTGAAAAAAATGAAATAGAAGAAGATGATGATGGTGATGCATTTATTCCATTTGATAAAATCTCGTCGCCACTTAGCAATTCTCATTGTCATCGTGGTCTTGATTTACCCGTTTGGTTAAATCAGTTATCTAATCATACATGTCTTTGTCCATGAGTTTATTATGGTTCACAATGTCAATATCAAAATCAACGTTTACACTTATCAATAAAATTTAATGTTCGAACTGATTCAAGTCAAATTCTTTTTGCAATATTTATTTTATTAATCGATAATACAAATCAACGAATGATTCATTCTTTTGAACAATTTACTTATTTATCATTACGAGATTGTCAAATTATATTTAATATAAATTTATTTTATGCAACTCGACCAAAAGATGTGAATAGAAATTATTCAGTACATTTGGATATTTATGAAAAACATTCTTCTCTTACATATCGACGAAGTTTTCTTTATCCTGTTAAGTTTTTATTTTTAGGGTGAGTCTAGCTACCTTTATCATGATTTTTCCTTGCTAAGAGACTTGTCAGATGTATGCGTTGCTTTTCGTCATAGAAGCAAATACAGCAACATATCGACAAAACCAGCTAGCGGTCCCCTTCGCTGAGGCAGGTTTTGAATCAAAATAGTTGACTTTAAAACCAAAATGCATTCAAAACTTCTCGAACACTCTGTTTGTGAGTAATATAAACACAATATATCATTTGGAAAACAAAAATTTTTTTAAATTCTAGCTAAAATCTCAACATTTTTTTGATTTTGACGCTTGTAAAATGTAATTGTATAGACATATTTTACTACGGGTTAGCATGAAATAAAAGCTAATACCGTTGAGCCGTAGAAGTATGATAGTACTGTTTATGCATCGAAGAATATATGGGTGCTTGCTATGATATTTCGAAGTTTTATAGACTAAAACTCTCCTCCATAGAACATGGGGAAAATGATGAAATTCCGTAACGAACATTATTTTAAGCTTTTTTATTGCTTTCAATTATGTTTGTTCAGAAATGGACTGATATTGTGAAAGCTTATGGAAAGCGACACAAACTACACGTGAAACATCTATCAGTATAACAGTTCGTTTTATAGAGAATTATGAAACTGTAAGCACACTGAAAAACAAATTCCATTTGAGAAATTCCGTAGCTGATGATATTTTTTTGAATAACTACAGTTTGGATAAAGTAAAATAGACAAAATTTTTAGCAATAGTAGATCTAAATAGTCTCGAGGTACTACTAAAATTTGAGAGTACTTACATTTATTAACGAGGAAATATAAACATTACAATTTGACAAAATGAAATTCCGTAACGCTGGTTATGCCGATATATGATATTGATTGTTATTTTGTTGTACGTAGAATGAAAACTATATTAACTCTCTTTTAAAGCTATAAATATTGAAGAATAACATATTCAAAAATAGAATTGTATTAGTTCTATGAATTAACAACTCTCTTCAAGATTTTCAATTTATGTTTCTCTTAGATTAACAAAGCAACATTTTATCTATCTTTCTTTGTTTGAAATAGAGATAAGAATATTATCATAAAGAACGGTATTATTCACTTCTCTCTTATTTTATATTGAAAGAAAAACAGTCGAGAAAATTAAATAAATTTTAACAAGTAAGATACATTCTTTCTTTCACTCAAACTATGAGAAGAGTTTTCGTTTTACTTTAGAAAATAATGTTTTTTTCTTCCAAAAAAATGATTTCTGAATTCGAATAAAATCATTGAATTTAAAACTTAATATATAATATTCAGTGACAATTAAAATATATCGACATTGAAAGTTTTACGTGTTGAAAAACTATAGAAGATTGTGAACAGAATATGTTTAAATCATCTTCTATATCGATCGTATTTTCATATTCATCATTGCCCACACTCTCACCCTCACCCTCACCCTCAAGATAGTAATACAATATAATAACGTGGCGGTCTCTTTATTACTTTCATTTTCGAGAGGAAGAAAGATAATAACATACAATTTGACAACTGAGTTGACCATACAGTAAGAGACAGAGAAGTGGAGAGAGGAAGAAGAAAAAAAAGACTCACATTTTTATTTTATATTCTATTAACAAATTCGATTTATCACGCATATTTATACACATATGTATGTACCGTCACTAATATTATTATTCTATTACAACACATTCATGAATTATAGAAGGTATTTATATATATATATATATGAAGTAACATAAAACAGAGGAAGAAGAGTTTCTGAAATACTCATATTGCTGATGATTAGTTATTAAAAATTCGCATACATCTATTCTTGTATATTTATCTCTTCTAGATGAACGTATGAGAAATCTCGTATTTTTTTGCAGTTCCATGCTTTTAAATACCATACACTTTGAGGCACTTTTACATAAAGGTATTCATTGAACATTAATTGATATTGATGTGTATTGAACTTATACCAATGTTTATATAGATAATCATTGAGTGTGAATTCTCGTATTAGAATGTACACAGTTAGATCATTTGATTTTAATGGATCACTTTTAACACGAAACTGTGTTCCCATAGTTAAAATCACTTCATCTTCATTTTCATATTTAGTATAATTAGAGATTTGTTTTCCTTTTAAACTTTCAATTAAAAACATTGTTGATTTTGGATTATTTCCAAGAAATTTCTCAATAACATTAATTGATGATGAACATGAATTAATTGACCACCATGTTACAAGTTGATCTTTAACGAAATACTTTCTAATATCTTCCGGAAATCCACGCCAAATAATTGCTTTAACAGTTG